GCTTAGAGTTTAGAATTTCTGTCCCCATTGTTGAACTCACACCATGTCTGTCATTTAAAACCTCAGTATCTCTGAAAGTGAGGATAGTGAAGTAAAAAGAACAATGATTTTTATTTATATAGAAAGATAGCTATATAAGAGTATTATTATTATAAAATGGGGATAGAGATGAAGCAAAACTCTTTTTGAAGGAGATATAATGACACCATCACTGAAAGATGCCACCAGACTATTTTCTTCAGCAAAGTACTCATTTTACCCATTAAAACATACAACTAGCTTTATATTTTGATTGCATGGGATAAAGCAAAAGCTCTCACAGCAGCACCTACTTTAAAAGACCTTTCCTATAAACACTCTTTGATAAATGGCTCTTATAATGTAGCTATTTTGCTAACTGAGTACTGAACCGTTTACTTTTACATGTGTAAAATTTTTAGGTGTAACTCCTAAAAGGCATAGTAGAGCTGGTCAAAAACTGAAAACCTATTTTGATGAGAAAAATTGAAATTTCAAAATTGGTGTGTTTGGAAAACTTTGAAACAACAGCCACATTTTTTTTCCAATGTTTTCGTCGTTTGCCCAATTATTTTAAAAATTAAAAATGAAAAAACACATTATGGAAAATTTTCATTTACAAAAACCCTGTTATCGATAACATATTCAATAGGGTTTTTGACGAAAATTTAGAACCCCAATGGCTTTTGTGATAAAATGTAAAATTTCAACAATGCTGACAATTTTTGATGGAAAATTTTGTTTTGGTAAAAAAGGTCATTTTTTAAAGGAAAAAAATTGTTTAAAAGTATCAAACAATTCTACTAAAATATTGTCCCTGTTCTGGATACAATACTCAATACTATTTTTAAAACAGTACACAAGTTTCTGGCAGGGTTGCCTCTTCAGTTTGCCCTCTACTGGCCCGATGTAGTATTGCAGAATCCTTACCTCAGTTTCCCCCAGACTTTTGGCCTACTCCAGCTGCAAGTGTCCTGTCCCTCCAGCCAGACCACTCTAGAAAGCCCTGCTCCTTCCAGGGAGGCAAAATTCTTTATCGAAATCCAACCAAAAATGTAAAAACTAAATCTTTAGCCCCACCAGGCTCAGCAGGCCTTGTCTTCCTCACAGGCATAGTTAAGCTTTCATGGTCTTTCCTCGTGACTCAGCATTTGCTCTTGTGCCTCAAACAACCTCAGTGTCCAGGGGCTGGCCCACTCCTCCCCTCCCATAGGAGTTCAGGCAGGCTGCAGCTCATCAGGGTAACTGCCTTCAGTCAGGCTTCCAGCTCACCCTGTCTGCTCTTCCCTCCTTTCTGCTTCTCAGCCTTCCCCCAGGCTGCTTCTCAGAGAGAAGAAACTCTCCCTCTCCTCTCTTCTGGGTCTCTTGACTCCAGCTAAACTCCCCTTGCTCTTTATGGAAATCTCCAGCTCTCCCCCAGCAGCTGGGTCTGATATCCAAGTTGAGCCACATGATCTCCAGCCGATTAGGATCAGCTGGCGGGTGAAGGAGGGTAGCTGATCTGTCACAGGCTGAACCCTTAAAGGCCAGCCAGCCTGTGACAGAGTCATTCTTTGGATTTCCCTGAACATTTCTGTCAGATCTTTGCTTTTCAAATGATAATGTCCTTCAGGCATGGCCGATGTGTTTGTGACATGACAGGACCAAGCATACTGTTGGCACTTAGAATACCTGAGGGGAAAAAGAAAGCACTCCAGAGCACATCAACCTCATATAGCTGGTTGTGAATGTTGTCTAGCTAGTTATTTCAAAACAAATGCAGCAAAGCCAGAACTTACAATATCTGCCAAAAAATCAAGGTTAGGCCAGCCAGGACAAACAAGACTTACACAGCTTGTCATAAAGCCAGTCAGACAAGGCACTGCAGTGGGGTCAGGACTACCTCAACATCAAATAATGAATGGACCTTTTAAAAACTCTTTGAAGAAGTGTATAAAGTTCTTATACAGTTCTACTTATCCTCTACTATAATGTACACAGTTACAAGTTTAAAAATGTTAGTTCTGATCTTTCCCTTAGCTCATGTGCATGGGTTACATCTTAGCCTCCAGGGCCATCATCCCCTAACATTTATCCCACAGAGGGAACACTCCATGACACACAATCCTTCCTCCCCACGTGGCCAGGATCCAGACACCATGGAGAGCCCTCTGCAGTGTTGAGAATCCACAGCTGGAGAAGGACTAGGAGAGGGAGTGTCAGTGTCACTGCCCTCTAAGACCTGGAAAGCAGCCTTAACCTTTGTGCTGTCCCCCACCATCTGAAGTGAAAAGAAAAGGAGTACTTGTGGCACCTTAGAGACTAACCATTTTATTGGAGCATAAGCTTTCGTGAGCTACAGCTCACTTCATCAGATGCATACTGTGGAAAGTGTAGAAGATCTTTTTATATACACACAAAGCATGAAAAAATACCTCCCCCCACCCCACTCTCCTGCTGGTAATAGCTTATCTAAAGTGATCACTCTCCTTACAATGTGTATGATAATCAAGGTGGGCCATTTCCAGTACAAATCCAGGGTTTAACAAGAACGTCGGGGGGGGGGGGGAGGAAAAAACAAGGGGAAATAGGTTACCTTGCATAATGACTTAGCCACTCCCAGTCTCTATTCAAGCTTAAGTTAACTGTATCCAATTTTGCAAATGAATTCCAATTCAACAGTTTCTCGCTGGAGTCTGAATTTGAAGTTTTTTTGTTGTAATATCGCAACTTTCATGTCTGTAATCGCGTGACCAGAGAGATTGAAGTGTTCTCCGACTGGTTTATGAATGTTATAATTCTTGACATCTGATTTGTATCCATTTATTCTTTTACGTAGAGACTGTCCAGTTTGACCAATGTACATGGCAGAGGGGCATTGCTGGCACATGATGGCATATATCACATTGGTGGATGTGCAGGTGAACGAGCCCTGATGGGCCTAATAACACCATCACAGGGCCTAATCACATCAGCCACACTATCAGAGGCTCCTTCACCTGCACATCCACCAATGTGATATATGCCATCATGTGCCAGCAATGCCCCTCTGCCATGTACATTGGTCAAACTGGACAGTCTCTACATAAAAGAATAAATGGACACAAATCAGATGTCAAGAATTATAACATTCATAAACCAGTCGGAGAACACTTCAATCTCTCTGGTCACGCGATTACAGACATGAAAGTTGCGATATTACAACAAAAAAACTTCAAATTCAGACTCCAGCGAGAAACTGTTGAATTGGAATTCATTTGAAAATTGGATACAATTAACTTAGGCTTGAATAGAGACTGGGAGTGGCTAAGTCATTATGCAAGGTAATCTATTTCCCCTTGTTTTTTCCTAACCCCCCCCCCCCCGACGTTCTTATTAAACCCTGGATTTGTGCTGGAAATGGCCCACCTTGATTATCATACACATTGTAAGGAGAGTGGTCACTTTAGATAAGCTATTACCAGCAGGAGAGTGGGTTTGTGTGTGGGGGGGGTTGGGGGGTGAGAAAACCTGGATTTGTGCCAGAAATGGCCCAACTTGATTATCATACACATTGTAAGGAGAGTGATCACTTTAGATAAGCTATTACCAGCAGGACAATGGGGTGGGAGGAGGTATTTTTTCATGCTTTGTGTGTATATAAAAAGATCTACACTTTCCACAGTATGCATCTGATGAAGTGAGCTGTAGCTCATGAAAGCTTATGCTCAAATAAATTGGTTAGTCTCTAAGGTGCCACAAGTACTCCTTTTCTTTTTGCGAATACAGACTAACATGGCTGTTACTCTGAAACCTGTCATCTGAAGTGGGAAATCTCCCTTCAAGACTTTGCCAGCCCAGGAAAAAGAGCTGTGTTTTCAGGGAACTGGAGTGGGGGAAGTAGCTCCAAAACAGGGCCGACCCTGCAGATTTCTCCTGGACCCATGGCACCCGAAGGCAAAAATGCTGTCAAAGGGTGTGCAAATCCTACCCACCAGAATGAATCAGGAAAAACTCTGTGAGGGGAACTTCACAGAGGTTATCCTTCCCCTAGTTCTTTTCATGGCTAGAGGTAAATGGGCCACTTATCTTTGGAATGATAGAAACTTTGCCATGCAGCAAAAGATAGAATATAATTAAGTTACGTTATATTAGGTTAATTGTTTTGTGATATCCTTATAATGTAGCTGCTTTCTCAGAATATAGTGGCACAGAATAGAACTATTCAGTGGTATCTTTAGCTGATTCCTAAACATTATCGCCCTTTGTAAGTGTGAGCAGTAATTCAGCCTATATGCTGGCAATGGCTGTAGAATTAACTTTGTTTGGCAACTCTGGAATTCTCTCTCAGACTAAAGGAGTACTTGTGGCACCTTAGAGACTAACCATTGGATGAAGTGAGTTTTAGCTCACGAAAGCTTATGCTCAAATAAATTGGTTAGTCTCTAAGGTGCCCCAAGTACTCCTTTTCTTTTTGTGAATACAGACTAACACGGCTGTTACTCTGAAACCTGTCATCTGAAGTGGGAAATCTCCCTTCAAGACTTTGCCAGCCCAGGAAAAAGAGAAATCTGAAATCTCTCAGATTAGTTATTCTTTCGTTTTGTACATGAAATAGACTCAACACTGAACCAAGAGGCTGGTAAATGGTACACTTTTGGAATTAATCATAGCACTCATTCAATGCAAAAGTAGCAAAATTCTGTGAGAAAGACCAGGCAAAGACCAAGAAGTAGAAGAAACCCTATGGTAAATTTCCAGCCCCATTGTCAAACCAAAGAGAATCAGATAAAAGTCTGAATATTTAAGGCACTCATGAAAACCAAACTTGTCCAGCCTACAACTATTATGAGAATAACCATAAAAATAATGAATAGTGACTGGCAGTTTACAGTTGAGTGTTAACAGGAGAATTAGTTTTGATGAGTTTTGAAAATAGATTTTCTCTCAAGGTAGTATCTATAATTTGAAAGCATTACTTCTGGACACTTTACATATTCACTAATAAGAACAGTCTTCCTTACCTGCTATTGCTTCAATACTTGGAATTGCAATAGTGCTATAAGCACTGATACATTTGCAAGACCATGTGTCAGTTAAGGTTTCCTCTGTACTTTCCAATCCTGAGATGCTGTCCACAAAGAAAGAACCCCACTGTTTAGATACTGAATAAGGAGCTTTTGGGTGATGTCCCTGAAATAAAATAAATAAATAAAATTAGAAACCCCAACATAAACTCAATCATTATAATTAGTCAATACTGTATCTTCCTTCTCTATTTAGCCCACAAACATTATTTTAAGAAGTTCTGAAGCTATCCACTTTTTCCTTAATAAAACTATTATTTCTTATAAGCAATATGACTGAAAAAGCAAACTGGGAAAAAACACCAAAACCTTTCAGTTTTTCTCTTAACTGGTTCTCTATGACATATAAAGTCTGCTTTAAACATTGTTTTCTTCAATTTGTTTTTCCATCTAAGGTAATAGGAATATCTCACTTCCCTCTCTTTGCTGGAGGACCTGAGACATCATGATGCATGAGGCTGTAACCTCAGCTACCATTCTGCCTTCTCTCACCTTTAGGAGAGAGTGTATGCTGAATGTCAGAGTAACCATAGGGAAAATATTACTTTGATTGTCTAAGATTCAGCATCCTTCTCTGCTCTTGGGAATTACTATTCAGGTCCCCTCGCAAAAAGTGAAGATCTGATATATAATACACACAACCTCTTAAAGACTTAACATGTATTAAAGAAACAATGTTGGGCAAAGCATTTTTTCTGATTTTATTGTTGTTATTGTTGCTCTGCAATCCATCTTTAGAACTGCTATATACTATCCACAGCAGTCAGAAAAAGCTCCAGCAGGCCTCTGCAAAAAGATAAGCAAAATTGCAAACCACACTATAGAAAATCTGCAAATGCCATTTGTGCACAAAGTATAATTTCAGACCATCATAGCAGAGAACAGCAGACAACCCTCCATAAGCCTCCAGATTTGTGAACTTTTGCACCTTGTTTTCCACTCAACTGCATTCTTACAATCTTCAGAACATGTTGGAATAACTGTTGACCACAATAGGAGTCATGTCAGATACATTTATGTCACGTCCCCTGTTAATCTCCCATTGCAACTAACCATGAGAAAGAAGAAATTTGACAATACACACTGAAACCACAACAGAAGACAGACTCAGGATATATCTACACTGTGATTAGACACCCACAGCTGGCCTGTGCCAGTTGACACAGGTATTTAAGGCTCAACCTGAGGGGCTGTTTAACAGCAGTGTAGACATTTGAGCTCAGGCTATAGCCTGAGCTCTGGGACCCACTTTGCAAGGTCCTAGAGCCTGGGCTCCAGCCTGAGCCGGAACGAGCCTGAGTCAGCTGGCACAGGCCAGCTGAGGGTGTCTACAATCTTTGACCAATACAAATCTATTGATTCAACAGCTTGAACTGACTCAGCAAACCATGATAATTTTTTAGCACTTCTTGGTGCTACTTTCTCTAAGAGCATCTATTTTGCAGGAAAAAAATGAGTTTGATTGGCATGTTCAGATCCAGATATTTGTTTCTCTCCAGTGCTGAGAACAGACTGAGATAGCTAACAACTTTAGTTTTCAAGTACAGAATGTCACCCAGGAGCTGAGCTCTTCTTTTGTTTACTCATTAAGATAGCTATTTTGGTTTGCTTTGTACACAAATAATACCTTTCCAAGAAAATCTTTAAGGGCAATTTAGATTATCTATCAAATGAAAATTCACTTTCCAGTTGGAGGAGAGCTGCAAAAAGCACATGAGGGCCATACCAATTATCCAGCTGATTATTCAAAAAAGCACACACAAGCCTTTGTATACAGGTCAGGGCCTACTTATTGGCAGGGAGATAAGTTCAGACTCCTGTCTCTGTGGATCTTTACGCCAGATTCACTCAGCAATTTAAATTGTAATCTGAGGAAATGCACTGACATTCTTCAAATGAGACAACTGCTCCATCTTGAAGCTGGAATGTCTCCCTTGTACTGCTCTACAGGGAGAGAATGAGGTTTAGGGGTTAGAGCCCAAACTTCTTAACAGAACTAAGAACAAACAAAACAAAACAAAAATTGTTAAATAAAATAGCTGCCTTCATGCCATGTATTAGGGGATTTTCTGTCCTCATATTTTATTATATTCCCATTGCGGTAATCTCCAAATGAAAAGGGTTCCTTGATTGTAAAACCAAACCTTGATCTCAAATTTGAGAATTCCCAAACTTTGTCCTTCAGTTGTACCCCTTTAAAAAGATACCAGGGTTACTCTGTGAGTATGCTTAAGAAGCTCCCAATTTCATTCCCAAATGCCTGATTACCAGAGTTCCATATCTGACTAGGAAGAGACTCAGCCTGCAGTTAAGGAAAGGTCAATGCTATTGATCTTACATGTTACTGAAACCACAGAGAGATTCCTTGGCTATGGATTCAAATTGCACCCGCCTAAAGTTTCTATTAGCGAATAACAATGAAGCCTTTAAAAATAATTTGTGTTTGTGAAGAGTGCCAGATTGGCAATCCTGGAAAGAGAAATCCTCTAGCTGTAGAACAGGAAAGCAGAAAGCAACAGAGAGACAGGATTCCACATCACCAGTGCGCCTTCGCAAGTCTGACCTAGAGTGACCACCAACAGGGGGTGAAAGTAGTTAAGTCTCTGTGCTTCAGTCTTTTACTTGGGACTGCCAACAAACATTTTCATTAATACTAGACCTGGAAGTATTTTTTGTGATAGACACACCTGCACATCCTTTACTAGAGTGATGGCAGTAATGCATTTCAAACAAACCAGACCACAGAGCAGCAATGGGATAAGAGAAGAGACAGGTGTCTGCAATGCCTAATTACAAGCCTCTCCAGCAACAGGTTGTGGGTTAAATATTGGAGTCATTCTTCACATTTAATTTCTCTCTGGTCCAGTATGAGTAGAATAAAAATGTCAGCTTTTTCTCCAGAGACAATCCCAGACTTTTTGTTTTTTGTGTGTGCAAAGTTACTGATATTCCCTGTAAGTCCTACAGTAAGAACAACAAGAACATCTGAAAGCTACATCTTGAATGAACAAAAAATCCTGAGGTAAAAACAAAATTAATTAAAACTGATAAAAAATTTTTTGTGGCAAAAGGATTAAAAAAAAATAAAAATAAAAAGTCAGCCAGCTCGAGTAGATTTTGTCAGGCTTCCACATGAATGCAAAAGGGAGGAAGGCCCAAGAGCCTCCAACATGGCTGTGTCTGTTGCACAGGTGGGACACAATCGCAATCCCTGCACTCTCCTGAACATAAGGACTGCTTCTTGCTAGCACACACTAGCACCAGCACCTGGCAGTGGAGCTAGCTAGCCATGCTAAGCAGTGTAAGCTGCACACCCTTACAGAATGTAGGCACTGGGTTTGCTCCCCTTATATGGCACCAAACTCTGGAAGGGATTGTACCTTCCTAAAGTACAATGCCTTCCAGAGCACGAGACAGGGCTGTGATTAAGTCACATTTGAACTTTTAATTGCTAAGCGAATCTGGGACACCCTTTAGTAATTAATACCCCCACATATGGTTCAAAAAATTGGAGGCAAAACCCAGCATTAGAATGCACCCATACTCTGGCCTGCTGCAGCCCCACACACAGCCTCATCGTATAGACAGTCTTAGCACGATCATGAGTAATGTGTGTGGTTATTGTGGACTGGATCAACGCCCAGCCAATGGATTAATCGTAAAAAGATTTGGCCTGCATGCCTTGTTCTTAGGCCCCCTGCCCAGGAATAGTTCTTCCCAGCAGTCTTTTTTGGGGGGGGTGTGGGGAAAGGTGGGGGACTACAAATGGGGTAGAAATTTTTTTGCTCCACACACTCCCCCTGCAGAGGGAAAGATTTCTGCTTGATATCCATGGGCTGTACTCTTCAGAACCTGGCTAACAGTTTGCAGTCCTGTCACTCATTACCATCATATATTCTTCATGCAGTAAAACAGACGATTCTTCAGGAAAATACTCACCCATTTATTCCTCCCTCCCCCCCCCCCCCAAAAAAAAAAAAGTGTTTAGGAAAGATTGACAGTGAAGAGTTGCCACTTGAGCAATTTATACACACCCCTCATTTATCCCAGATAAATCAACATTATAAGATGTTTTTCTACAGTAGAAAGATTTGCTCATTCACTTTTGCTGTTAAATGTATTAGTAAACCACTGACAGGAATTTAGATGTTGTTTATGTCAATTCGGGCAGCAAAAATCCCACAGCCTCTAAGAACCAGTGTCTGACCTCCAAAGCCATATGGATGATAACAGTTTGCCTCAAATCCTAAGAAGCAGCAGCAGATTCACTTGGCTATGGTGTAACCAGGGTGGCACGTAGAAAGGATTTCCATCTTGAACCATCCCTTGCAAGTCTTCTTCCTTCAGCAAGAGTCAATATGGGAGGTTTTAGGGGTCTTAAAACTCTCAAAATTGCATTTCCAACTGCATTCATGGTCAGCCTTGTGCTCTACTTCCTTCCACCTCACCTCCATAAACATACTGTAAAAGCATACCTTCTTCTGCACGTTGGCCATGACCCTACCATTGCTGTCTACTTGTTCTCAACTGGTGCAAGACTGCAACTTTCTGGGATCATCTAAGTATCTCCTCATTTGTAACAAAATCAAACCAATGGATGTTAAGAATAATCATAACTTTTGAACTGAAAACTGTTCAGTTTCCTCTCCTTGGCTGTTTTTTATGGCCATTTTTCTGCTCTTTATAACAGGGTTGTCATCAATACTGCATTGAACACTCGTATCTTAGTTATCACGCAGACAACCTGCCAGCCACACAGATGTCTGTAAAGACGCTGAACTGTCATTGATGCAAGACTGATCTGACATGTGACTTCTTCAGTTATAGAGCCTTCTAATGTAATCTGATTACCCAGATAGATAAAACTATTCATCCATTCAATGTTATTGCCAACTACATGCATGTCAGCAGATCATTCATTTCTGTTTTATAAGAGGCATCCACAGCTTTTATTTTATCACCACTGATCTTAAGTCCTAAGGATTCTGTCAGGGAATCAGGCCACAGGTGATCAGGCCTATTGACTGGAACAGGAGTCTGGCCTAGTGCTCAGAGTCCAAAGGCCAGAGCCCAAACTCAAAGCAGAATCAGAGCTGGGGTTCAGAA